AGCAACCAGAGTCACTTTGACATCCTGCCCAGTTTGATGCTGCTGCTAAAAGATTTATTTGTCAAACTGATGCTAAAGTAGAACTTCACATGATGCTCCACATTCCTCATTTTTGAGCAGACGGTGCTTCTTGTGAGAGCTGTGATAAAATACAACTTGTTTCACTTAATTTTACGACAGAAAAAGAATCTCTAGCCCTAATACTCCGTCGTATTATCCAGACCTGTGTTGGCTGTTTTTTTTTTCCTCTAATAGAACGACTGGATCTAAACTCAGATTAATTCAAATATCTCTGGTCTTTAATCGTGTGACTTAATTTATTTGAATCATTATTTTCTATTTTCCTTCTTCAAAAAAGGTTTTAATCCTCCACAATTATGCACTACTTTGTGTTTCTTCATTTCAGGGCCATGAATCATTTTGTAAGACGTTCCTTTAAAGCAAAAGCTTGAATTCAGAACGACAAAATTAAAATAAAGTTTGTGGATTTTTATTGCTGTAAAAAAAGAAAAAGTGAAATGCAAACGTTGAGACTGAGGTAAATTCATCTAGAGTCGGGGTGAGACCAACCCTGTTGTCTTTTCACAGCAATGCTTCATGCTGCCTCAGTCCCTGGGTGTTATTGGGGGGAAACCCAACAGTGCCCATTACTTCATTGGTTATGTCGGTATGTCTGATCTCATGTTTGTACTTTAAACTCTCAGCTGTGCATTGTTTAAAAAAAAAAAAAAGCTCAGTCACATTATTCCCCTTTTCTTTCCCTAAATGTTCTCAAGAAGCCATTTTGGTTGTGAACTGGTGTGTTTGTCTCCAGGAGAGGAGCTGATCTATTTAGACCCGCACACCACGCAGCCGGCGGTGGAGCCCAGCGAAGACGGCCAGGTCCCCGATGAAACCTACCACTGTCAGCACCCGCCCTGCCGCATGCACATCTGTGAGCTGGACCCGTCCATCGCAGCGGTGAGGCTCACGCCGTCTCTCACAGCGAGGAGATGGTTGATGTGAGAAAACTGGAAAGTTTAGAGTGTGTCTTTTTGTTTCTTCTATTCGCCAGGGCTTCTTCTGCCAAACAGAGGATGACTTTGATGACTGGTGTCTGCGCATCCGAAGGGTACGTCCCATCTCCCCAAGGGGGGAAAGTTTAATAAAGCAGGCAATTTTAAATAAATACAACCTAATGAATCATTTTGTATTGATTCGCTGAAAAATTATTGGTTTTAATGTTGATAATTATGGCTTCCAGCTAATAAAAATAAACAGGATTTAAGAACAGAAATGGGTCTGGTGGCGGCCATGTTACAGTCTGCACCGACATGGGGGGGGGGATTCTGTAAAAATTCAAAAAATATCCTCTGGACTTGGTTTTCAAGATTTGAAGACGTTTCGCTTCCTCTCCAGGAAGCTTTCTCAATTCGAATGTCTGGATCCGCAGTGAGTTTGAGTCTTATATGGACAAGGCCTCGTATTGCTTGGAAACATGCAATGGTAACCGATGAATGGGTCGGTTGGTTCCATCGTTAGCCTGTAATATCTGAAACTGTCTATGATTATGATCTGAACTGTCAGATATTACAGGCTAACGATGGAACTAAACGAAATTAAGAATTCTGACTTTTTTCCCATACTAAACTGAAATAAAATTTTAAAATCTGTTAACTTTTTTTTTTTTTTTCACTGGCCCTATTCCTCTTCCGTACTTGCTCATATTTTCCAGACAAAAAGTTAATGGAGCATCTCCCAAATGTCCCGGCAGCAACAACGCTTTTATTGGTTCCGCTATCGGGACGGAACCAATAATGGAGACATTTTTTTTTTTATATATAAAAAAAAAAATTGCAATTTTAATGTTTTTAGATTACAAAAATAAATCGTACAAAAAATAATCCTATTTATGATGTTTTAAAAATTAAGACCCACGAAAGACTGATTTAAGACATTTTAATACCAATTAAGGCCTTAATTTTATTTTGAAGAATTCAATGCCTTTTAAGACTTTTTAAGGACCCGCGGGAACCCTGTGATCGTGACACATTTTTTAACTGATTAATGCATAAATTTATGAAGTCACGGCTAAGGTATTAGTTTAGGTATAAATAGCGATCCATTCTGGATCTGTCCAGACTGGGTGTCCTCCATGTCAAAGAGCTCCGGATCAACAGACCCACATTTCTGTTTTAAAATCCTCTTTCTGATAAACTGACTTTAGGATTTCACTTCACTGAAAAAACCAGAAATAAAACGACTCGGTGCGTAAACTCTTCTGATGCATCGGTGTGATGATGTCACTTCTAGTTGTCCTGCAAGAAAGGCGGCCTGCCCATGTTTGAGTTGGTAGACAGTCAGCCCGTCCACATGGTCAGCGTCGACGCCCTGAACCTTACTCCTGGTAAATCAGCTGCATTCTTATTGAAAATAAAAAAGCTCTCAATAAGAGGAAGGATTTGATTTGTTTTTTTAAATTTCCTCTGCAGATTTCTCAGACTCGGACCGACTGGAACGGTTCTTTGATTCCGAGGATGAAGAGTTTGAAATCTTGTCCCTGTAAGGACCTTTGAGGAACAGCGATACGGACAGTAGGCGAAGGTTCGTCTCTTCTCCAGATCAGAAGAGGAGCCCGGTGGGGTGGGGGGGTTGAACATTTATTAGAGACCTGCTCCAGAGGAAGCTCCTCCCATCAGCTGTGTCCCGTAGCTGGACTGAGGCTGCAGCCGGAGCTCAGGATCATCTGTATGCACATCTTCACACGCCTGTGTTTTCATTCCAGTCTTAACACTTTAAATGTTTATGCTGAAGTGACCTGGTGCCTTTCCCCACCCCCCGCCCCCCTGAGTAAAATCGCCATTACGGTTTTATGTTGACTAGACCCACAGCGGCTTACGCAGTTCATCCACTAATCCCTGCAGTCTGTAATGAAACCAAATTTTAGCTGCTGACGCAAAGTATCCTCGCCAGGTTTACCATCTACTCTCTTTCTGTTTGAAAATTATTTATTTAATCAAAACATAGGTAAGCGATGGAACAAGAGACGTGTAAGGACTAAAAATAAATCAACTGTTTATCTCTTTCTGGTTTAAAAAAAGGAAAGTTTATATTACATGTGTCATGATCAGAATGGAGGCCATGTTTTCTGCAGAGGCGTCTTTATTTCCTCCACCTGCTCAGACTCACTTCCACAGCTCCCCGAGGGGCGTGTTCTCCGTCCGCTCGATGATGTCCAGGCTGTGCGCTTTGATGTCGTTGTGAACTTCTTCAATATTCTGTGATGCATCAATTACCTGCAGAGCAGATTAACGGGATTATTAGATTATTTGTTAACCCAGACTGAACGGGAGCAAACCACCTTCATACCTTCCAGTTTACTGAAGGATCCTTCATGATCCGCTCAAACTTCTCCTGAACCGCCTTCTGGAAGCTGCTGGTCTCGTACCTCTCTGTGCCAAACTGACCCCGGGCCGCCGCCTCCGCCGGGTTCATCTTCAGGAACATGACGAGGTCGGGCTTGGGCAGCCCCCGCTCCGGATTCATGCACCAGTCCTGACACAAGCCCTGCAGAGGAACCCGAGGAAACGTTAGCAGACTGTTTCACCGCATCACTGGAAACCAACAGGAGAGAACTCACCAGCTTGGCGCTGGTAAAAGCCACGCCAGAGAAGGAGTACCGGTCCACAACCAGAGTGACGCCCTGCTCCAGCTTCTTCTTCATCACAGGCCTGAGACGTCAGGAGGAAACACACAAACTACAGTTTCCCACAGTCCACCACAGAAACTAAAGGTTTTTAACAGAATGGTGTGGCTGGAAGGTCAAAGGTCATCGGTTTCATGTTTTTCAGACCAACTGAAGTTCAAATATTTTGACAGAAGTTTGCTTTAAAAAATGGATGTATACAGTATTAAATTGGAAGGAAGGAAAAGAGAGAAATAAAGGAAAAGGAGCGATAGAACCGCTGTATGGAGTGAATTTTGTTCCCTTATTGTTGAAAGCAAAGAACGCGTTTTCTAACCGGAAAAAAAGTCCAGAAATAAAACTTTGAAAAAAAACTTATTCAAAAAGGTTCCGGAATTACGAGTATGAGAGCCAGGCTAGAGATTTTCTTTTTTATTTTGAGAAGAAAGTCGTAATATTACGAGAATAAAGTAATCATACAGCAACCCGTTTCAGAAAGAAAGCTTGGAGCT